CGGATTTCGACAGAATATTATTTTCTCATATTTGAAATACAGTTCGACAAAACCTACCCAAACCTTATTGCCTACACATAAACAATTACATTTCTTTTCATCAGCAAATCAATATTTCGGCACCTCGAGAACGTGTTTTTTTTATGAACTCTTCAATATCTTATCAAGCGTATATCTACACATACAATTTGTGAACACATTTCTAAAAATACAATTTCAATGTCTAAATATTAAAATGTTTATCACTAATCTTTAATTTTACTAAGTACGTAATGTCATTTAGATTGAGTTCTTGCGTAAAATTTCGTAAATTTATCTATCATTATCGCAATAGGAAGTTAAAACTTAAATAGTTACTGAAATTATTATTTTAAAAGAACTTCCGTAAAAAATAGTCGTTTCAGACTGGAAACAATGCAAGAAACCGAAAAAGTAAGAAAATAGTCACCTAATAAGGGTTAAAGGTTTCGCTAAAACTCTGAGAGTCTTTGGTTTGAAACTCGGGTACACCGAAATGCCGCAATGGGTAAAATTACTGAGAAAGAATTTTTCCCAGCAACATTGCCTCTCTATAATAAAAAAACAAAAACCGTTCAGCGGTTAGTACAGGTTTTTGACATCAAAAGCCTCAAAATTAGTCTAGCTGTCACATGTGTTCATTAGCTAAAAATATATACTAGCTGTTCTTTACTATACAGAGGTATGTTTCGGCAAGGCTTGGCAAATTTAAAAATGCAAGTACCTTAGCTTATCAAAATTCTATGGGAACTTTTTTTTTATTGTCACCGTAATTTATTTGTTAATTTATACATTTTTTAATACTTGGTTAATTCAAGCAATTTAGAAACGAGTTTATCTATGCAAATTATTTTATTAAAATTAAAAACCAGAACAGCAAACAAATAAGAAAGCTTTAGCTTATTCGGCCTACAAATATTCTAATATGTATGTACATAAATTTGTATGTGTGAAGAAAGTCTTAATATATTCGTGCTTAAGCAATGTTTGTGAAAAAATATATTCAAACATATTTATATGGGTCTATAATATGTATGAGCAATCACTTAACCTCTCCCTTTATTGCAATTCTCAAATGCAATTTAAGTCATAGATACGTCATATCAATTCACATTTTTACACACTCAGACGTGTACAAAGATACATGCTACAGTAGCGAACAGATCTAAGCGAGCAATTAGCTAGCATAAGAAGCAAGGTAATGCGCGTGAAAGTGAGTAAAGGAACAAGTAAGTGCCTAATAGAAATTAAATTGGCAGCACTGAAAAATATTTAACGAATATAACATATGTTTTTTTTAGCAAAAAGTAGACAATACCCAGTTAAGAGATTTTGAGGAGATAGTGTAGAATCCATGCCGATATCAAAACAGTCGCGAAGCGAAAAGGGCCATAAATATGAAATTCTTAATATAATATTTTAACTGCCAAAATGCTTTGGCAAGTTTCGCACTGACTTTTCATTGAAGAAGGAATCTTTAAATATGTGTGCAAGCAATTGGGTCAGCTTATTTAGTTCATTTTTCTACAATAGAAATAATATAAAAATACATGTCCTATTTGTGTGACCGCCACTGTATATTGTTAGGTTTTTTTATCAATCTGTAGAACAACGAAATGCCACAATTTCTTACAGATAAAAATTGAATACAATAAAATTACTTAGCGTTGTTATTTTTGCAGTATCAGCAGGTCATTGCGTCGCGCGATACCGACAACGAACACGCTGAATTTTTTTCAACGTGTTTACAAATATTGGCTTGCGCTTTGTACACTTGTGAAAAAAAAATATGTACCTACTATTTGCATATATATGTATGTATGTAAGCAAAGAAACAAAAGATTGAAAATAAAAACGACATATCTTTCATAAAAACATTTGTATGTAACATGTCTGCACTTGATAGCTTTTCTGCTTTTGTTTAAATTGTCTAGCCGCTTTATAATTTTATGATAATGCAATTTTCACGCAAAGTTGTGGGGAAAACATTTTATGAGCTTATCCTTTATTTTGTTGAGTCTGTATTGGGGGGTGCTGTGTGGTGTTTTTTGTTTTTTTGAGTACATAAGTATATGGTAAAGTAAGTTAATAATGTGTTCCATTGTGCAATTATATTGCTTCAAAATAACATGTAAAGCTGGAGTACAGCAAAGAATCAGTAACAGTCCTCACTTGCCTTTTTTTAATGTTTCTGAACGGTTTTCGAAAAACAGCCCCAAATACTTTAACATATACATATCATATACATAGATCTATCTTGACCATATACATGTGCTTGAGATCACTTGTCCATCTCTCTAAAGACAATCAAACGGTATTTAGAAATTTAAAACGCTCGGAGCATAATGTCACAATTTTCATCATACTCTTTTTCCATGTTTGTCCTTCATTTATTCCAAAAAAAAAACAAAAACACGGTTCTCGGAAATGTCTCTGAACTCTGGCACTCCATATACCTGTCATTCTCCAGTTACCAGTCGAAATGGTCGAATGAATCATCGAATATTGGACTCAACGGATGGACCATCTGAGACATAGCCGCGGCCAATATTTGAAAAAATTAATTTCAAAAAATAAATGCCCAAAAATGTTCTTTCGAATGATATAAACATTCTCCATTAAATTCGAATTTTCTGTGTTTTTTTCATAAAAAAATAGTTAACCTCGAAATGGATCACCCTCAACCTTCTTCAGAGAGGTAAGCAATCACTCCAACATTATAGCGGCGATACTAGCCCTGAGCTTACATATCGTAAAGTTCGAGCTTAGCTAAAGAGTGCCTGGATGTCTGACGTTTACAGGGAAAGACACCACTGCTAAATATTTAAGAACCTTATACGCGTACGTTTTTTTGGGCCATGGGTTCCATATGCCGATCAGCTCCCGTGAAACCTAACTGTCCTAAGCTAGGGGACTAAGAGGACTATTTTAAAGTTTTAGGTTTAAAAAGTAATTTTTATTAAAGAATGATAGGCGTACGCTCTACTTTTGAACCATAGTTTGGATACATAGAGAAAAAATGTGCCGCTGGTGCGCAAGTCTTAATAACGGAGCGACTCGAATAAAAATTAGTTTTGTTCGTCCACCGATTTATATACATTTAGGTTAGGTTAGATGGCTGATCCCTTAGCATAGCGGAGGAATCACACTTAGACTGTTGTGTACAGTCCTTTGTGATGCCAAACAAAAAACTCTAGTACTTGCATATCAGCTAATGGCAAAACCGACCTAAAACTATTCAAAAATCTGCTTAGGTGTTTTATTTCGATGTCCGCTATTTCACCTGAATGTGTAAAAGTATGAGATCCGAATTGTTCTGGCAAAAGCGGGACAATCGAAGAGAAAGTGTTGAGTTTTTTTTTGAGTTTATCTCATCTTCTTCCAAACAGCTGATGCTCAAGCTGTCATCCGGTATAATATTCAATTTTACTGCATAAATACCGATCGCACAGTGTCCAGTTAGAACTTTCAAAACCATTAAAAGGTGGATATTGGTGAGAGCAAAGATTTTTCCGGATCTTTTACGATTTACTTTGGGCCAGAAGGAACTTGCTACTGTTGGTAGTTGACCAACGCTAACTGATTTGGACTGAGGCCCAACAGTCTAGTAGTGAACCACAAGTAGTCAACGGAGCTCCTACCCGTCAAGAATTTCTAAAAAATTCTTGTCGAAAAACATGCTTTCTACCATTCTAGTTAGCACTTTTAATGATATTTTTGAATTATAAAAAATCAAATTTTGTTATTCTGAGTTTTTGGCGCAAACTTTTATTTAAAATATATATATGTACCTATATACTCGTACAAGCCTTGTCAAAAAACACAAAACAAGCTCCTACTACTTAGCACTTTAAATGCGCTTTTCAAAATTATGGAAAATCGAATTTTGCGATTGTGTTTTTGGTGCAAACTTTTACTTAAAATGTGTTTATTTCTGGTTTATGCTAAATATATATGTGGGCAGCGGAAATCAAATGCAAAATTCATCACAAAACTACTATTTTACGTCCACAAATTTAGAGAAATAACTTTTATGAATTTTGAATAAAATTGAGAAAAATATCCAATCGGGCGTTGCAATATGCCAATACGGAGCCAAAAATGCCATATATGACTTGCGCTTGCAATAATTTTGTTAATAAACTGTGCATTTTATAAAAATAAACACTTGTAGGTGCCATTACAATGCAGTTTTATATACATACATACATACATACAACTATGTATGTATATATATTATTAGATTTTGCATTTATTTACTATTGGCCACGGCATTTACAGCGTTGAAATGTTTACTTTATTGTAATTTTATTATATTTATACAAAGTATGTGTGTTTGTTGCGAAAATATCGCACATTTTCCACGGATATGTGTATGTATGTATGTATGTATGTGCTACATAAAACACGACTTGAAATTGCAATCTGCTTTTGATATAAAAAGAAAATATTCATGTCAACAACTTTTTTAATGCCATTTAAATACAATTCGCTAAGAACTAAGTCAGAAGAATGCATTGTGTAGAATATTTAGAAAGAAAGAAACCAAACAAAGCAGCAAATGAAAGCAATTATGTAAATATCGGGCTAAAAAGCAACACGAATTTTTCCATATCATTTTACATTCAACACACAATGCGCTACAAACATACACACACTCTCAGCATTCAATACACGCCGCGCAACCGCCTCCCAAAGCTTACAATAACAAACTGACCGGCCGAGCGCACGTCCTACCGCCCGCTTTTCGGCACACCTGCCCAGCGAAGAGCGCTACTGTCCAGCGCAACACCTTTTGGCACGTCATACATACATATATACATGCATATGTATGTATGTAAATCGCATTAACCCATTTCAATTTATAACAGTATTGAATTAAAACCACACACTCACTCTCTCTTGCTCTGCACACCCAACATTGTATTTCGCAGACTAATTTATGGCCACACGTTTTGCTTTTTCGCACACCAACTACTCACCTCCGATGAATCTGTTGAACGCCGCCAGCCTTGCGCCATTTCGAATGGATCGACTACGGTCTCCTCTTCGATAACACCATCTGGCGTTGCACTTTCCATTATATATACCAAGTCCACTTGCTCTTGCGGCGCTTCCGGTATACTGTTGTGCGCCTGCATATCCACATCACCGTCCAGCAAAGCGGTCATGTCTATTTGCGCAGCCAAACTAATGTCGAGCGTGTCGGGTGTGTCCATTGCAATGGTCGCTGTTTCGCTTTCATTTTCAAGCGCGTGCACAGTGGTGGTGCCGTCTTTAACATTTTGCACTGGCGTTGTCCAGGGCGATGGTGTGGGCGCCGGTGTTGGTGGTGTTTTGTATTTACCTAAATTCTCATTACATTTCGCTGACGACGCTTCATTCCATCTGCATAGTTTACGCGGCTTATCTTCGCTGCTACCATTTACAACAGCTGTGCGACGCCGATGGCGTTGTGGATAGCGACGCGGCGGGGGCGATGCTTGTGCGATGGCATTAGCCGCGGAGTCGGTGTCAGTGTCACTGCCAACGTTGGCGCCGGCATCGCGAACAACGGCGTTGTTATAGTTGCAATTGAAAGCACACTCGTCGCCATCAATACACTCTACATCGATATCAAAATCGTCGTTGTAGTCGCGGTCGTCGTCGTTGGCAGTGTGATTGGCAATGGCAGCTATGAAGGCAGCGTCGTCATCATAATCATTATAGGTTACCAATTCAGTTTGTGTTGGTGTTTGCGTGCTTTGCTCACACTTACCCTCGCCGTCTGTCTGCTGATATAATCCGCTCACCCGCTCCGCATGCACTTCGCGTATATGCTCGATGAAGACGTCGAATTGCAGGCAAATACCGGGACAGAAGTGACAATTCATGCCGTAGGTTTGCGCATCTGGGGATACGGTGATTTCGCCGCATTTGCGAAAACAAGCAAAGTCCTCCAGTTGCCAATTGTAGACTTGTTGAGCCAGCAAAGTCGACACAACACTCATCTTTGGCGGGCGGAATCTAAGCGTGCGCGGACAAGGAAGTTACTAAAATATGCGCCACGGAAAACACAAACACACAGATACACTCATACACGCGTTGTTGGTGATTTATGCACGGAAGACAACGCGTTACATATACATATAATTAACGACGCAACGGTATATATATATAATTTTGTAAGCAGACAGCGCAGTCAGTACTTCCGATCAACCCCAAATAATACGTAAAATACCGCAAACACCCGAAAAAAACACGCGAAAAAGCACTACACTTCGCACACATTCACATGCTTCGATAATTTTTTGTTTATTCCTTTTACGCCACTAATTTTTACTGCCTAACTTCCACTTCGTGTGTGATATATGGCGGTTCGAATTTCTCGAATTTTAATAATTCTTTTTAGCACCACTTCAAAATTCGGCACACAAGCCGCTTATATTTAAAATGCGAAGACTCTATACGTAACGTCCGTGCGTGCCGCGTACTGCTACCAGAGACCAGCCAACCGTTTTAATGTTACTCGTTCCACTGCCGGCCGTCAACTAGTTCCAGCTGTTGGCCGCAACTTCGGCATAGCGAATATACGAATACACAAAATCGAAAACACTTTCTGCGCTGCGGCGCGTCACTGCTCTAGACGCGCGCCAAGTCGTAGCGCTGCTCGAAATGTTCGCATACAATGGTTACGCAGTGTTTATCAAGCTTTTTTGGGGGGCTGTTGATTGTGACTTCACAACTACCGACAGCCAACGACAAACAGCAAACAACAATGGCAACAGCGCTACCGTTTTAGGGGTGTGTGAGCGAAGTTATGTAGAAACGCACACATGACAATCACACACATACATACAAACATGTATGCGAGTAACTGGCGTGTAAGTGTGTAGCGCAGCGTTGGGAGCGCGGTTTGATTGCACAAATAACTTTTTAAGCAAAAGTAGGTAAAGTGGCATTAACGGGAGAAAAACAGGCTTGTTGTTGATTGCTGCTTGTCGTTCAAATGCTGAGGATCTTACTTGAAATTATTATGCGGCAACGCAGCTTAATTTCAACGGCCTTGTGATTATACTTACAGACATATTTGTACATATGTATGTGTGTATGTGTGCGTCTAAAAAAATAAGTATTAGTGTCTTCTCCTTGTCATTAAATATGTTATTTATTTCCTGTTATTTTACTGTAACGCCGTTACATTTCATTGGGAGCCTCAGGTGCGGGTAAAATAAATTAATGAGCGTTTATTTTTCAAAGGTTTTTTATAAATACAATACATATTGTTATTAACCTTGAAGTATCAGATTGGAGTGTTGGAAAGTATGGTCGATTAAATTGACTGATCCGTGTTCAGATCGGACTTAAATTCTTCAATTCATATTTTCTATTTCAACTAACAGGTGCCAACACAAAATATACCAGAACTGATGCTAAACAACCATAATAAACTGCTTCTGCAACAACACCACCGCAAGAGACCCTAAACATTACTTACAAGAAGCGCTTTCCAGCCAATATTCTCGAGTTTGTGTTGCGTGTCTTTGGTGTTTACCCACAAATGGAGTTTGAAAAACTTTTCTGAGCGGGTAATGAATTATAAAATTATAAAAGAAGTTTCTTCAGACAAAAATACATACAATGCACATTCGAAGTCGCGGGATTGTTGCTTCAGGAGTATTTGCTAAAGCAAAACAATGTTGTAGATAGACAACCGGCACTAAATAGGTTTTGAAAAACTTTAAATTTTTATCTTACGAATTTTTTGTAGAAACAAAAAAATTCAAAAGTTCACGAAGTTAAGCAAAACTCCACTCGTTTTGAATATAAACGGTCAATTCAGCGGAAACTCAGGGGAAGGCCTAGAGAAGAGAGTATTTCTGTAAACTAGGATTCTAACCACGTTCCCAAATCTTATTTGAAAGGTTACTCGTATACTTGCAAGTCAGAAAAAAGCGGTTGTTTATCAATTTTTTTTTTGTAGGGGCATTTTATTTAATTAGTAATAAGGATAAAGTACTTTAAGAATCGGTGATTTTTTTGAAAAAAAAAAAGTGGATCCCCTTGATCCCGTAGCCGATCTCCAGAAGGACCTTCGAAAAAATGCGTCTGCGCTTAGGAAGAACTTTCTTAAAATCTCAAATTCGAAAACAAAAAAAAAAAAATATTATTACACTGGGTGAATACAGGTAATAAGCGGAGGACCAGACAAACTTTTGATTTTCGACAAAAAGTAGTTTTTGGTGTGTGTATTCTAGTCCAGATTAATACTTTTCTATCATGACTAAACTCCAGTAGTGACTCTTGTGTTTATTCAAGCTGAAGAAACTTTAGAGGAACAGGATAGTCAAAATGCAGCCCGGTCGGATACGCCTATGTATAACTTTATTAAAGCACTTGGTGGTGGACGCAAAAATTTCGACTTTTTATTATGAGAGCGTGTATGTATGTATATACATATAGGTATATATGCAACTATGTCTTCTACTACGTCGGTTTGATAGCTATGTAAGAGTATGTGTTTGTCCGTTCAAGCTTGCAATATTATTTTACTTTCCTAATGTTAATATTATTTTTATTATTTTTTTGCTGAGTGCACAATACCAATCACAAATGCAGTCTATTCTATACGAAGTGAAATTAAAAACGAAATGGCCACGCGCCTTTGACAGCGACCAATTTACAGTTGCGCGCAACGAAATTCCACTGCCGATTTTTCTGAGGGTTTAAGGGAGGTTTGATTGTTTAAATTGAAAAATATTTCATTGAAAAAAAAATGTTCACTAATGCTAGCTGATATAACAGCACGCTAAATACAAATAATAATTAATCATAGTCAATAGCAACTGAAAAACGATAAAAAAACCCAACAAAATATATAAAACCAAATTGAAAACATTGTAATTGTCAAAATACCTCCTGCAACCTCCTGAACTTTGACAGTTGCCTGAGTTCAGGAGGAGGTGCCAAACACACACTAATTGATATATGAAGATCAAACTTCAAACGAACAAAAAAAAAGGTTGTACCAATCTAAAAACCAAATTTTATCGACTCGGTTTGCGCGCGCAGTGTTTAAATGTACCAGTCTGAAATTTAAACAGATTGAAAAACTACTCTCTAAATAAACAATAACGGTTATTTTCTTAACGTCATAATAAATCATTTTTAGAAGCCCGTTGCTTGCCATGTTCACAGCATTTTTTGATATGTTTACTGTTTGTTTCATGAATATAAAGCACAAGAATTTTCCGATTGAACTAACCGCCTTTTCTGCTTATATAAAAAATAATTCCCCATGCTATTTTTTAGCACACACCTGTACATTTAATGCACACATAGAATTTTTCATATGAACTGATATAAACAAACGAGCTTGCGCATTTATTATCAACGTAACAAGCGGATAAGCGCACATATCCGTTACCACCCAGGCGGAATTCCATAAAATGTTTTGCCATGACATCAGTCATGACATGTCAGTAAGTAATAAATAGTTAAAAAAAACAATGTACGCATTGAACGCATAAAAGATTGCAAGATTGGTATGAGCAGTAAGCAAAAAAATATCAACTACAGTTATTTGCTGCAGTGTTAAAGTTAATTTAACATGCAAATTTGCTTTTCGCAAATTTTTCACGCTGTCAGCACAGTTTGAGAGGAACTGGGAGCAGTAATATAAAAAGCATGAGAGTACAATTGATCGATACCAATTTGTTAGTTCGATATACAACAATTTTTTTTAAATATTAGAAATATTCAACAGAAATATAAGTGTTAAGATTCCTAGTTGGTTTTCAATAATTAAAGACACATATGTGAAAATTCTCTGGCATGTGTTAACAGGCGGCTGTTATTGTACCACGCAAGAAATTTGATTAGAGTGAAGCATATAAGTGTTCCATAAGTTCCATAAATGGTCAAGAACTGTCAATCGAACAAACAAACAATCGATAGTTGTTGACTTTTTGCAAAATATAGATAACGTGAACATATTTAGGAAATTTTACCTTTTTATAAACGAAAATGTTCCAAATATACATATATGTGTATGTAATTTCTGATTTCATACCAATTCCATAACAATACATATAAATTAAATATAATATTTAAATAAAAATAATTTACACTTACAAAATTTAATGTATTTTAACAAAAACTTATTAAATTTAATAGTTAAATTAAAGTAATTTACATTTACAGAATTTAGTGTATTTTAATAATCGGCGATTCGTTTCGAAAAATTTTGGATGCCCTTGATACCATGGCCGATCTGCAGGAATACCTCCGAAAAAAGTGTGTGGCGGTGATAACGATTTTTCTGACTAAAATTATCTTAAATTCAAGAAATCAAAAAATTTATTTTAATATAGATAAATACAGGTAATGATCGAAAGACGACATTTTTGACAAAATAGCAACTCATTTTCTATTTGTGTTTAATTTACACTTCAGATATGATCAAAAATCTTATTTTTTCGATTACGACAAACATATCTAAAACGATCGATTCAGCCGTTTTGAAGAAGTTTTTTTTTTGTGAAATGAATTCATTTTAATATAGATAAATACAGGTAATGATCGAAAGACTACATAAAATTTTGATTTTTGACAAAATAGCAACTCATTTTCTTTTTGTGTTTAATTTACACTTCAGATATGATCAAAAATCTTATTTTTTCGATTACGACAAACATATCTAAAACGATCGATTCAGCCGTTTTGAAGAAGTTTTTTTTT